AGTACGGCCCTCTTGCTCAGTTCGTAAGAAGTGTACAGGGATTATTTTTGAACCTAGTCCACACCCTCTTAAGGTATTTTGATGTACTCTATTTTCCGACGGGCACCATGATTCATTTTCCATGCATCGAAGCTAATGTGGTGTACACCTTTGGTGTTTAAAACATCTTCGTACCAGAAGATGAAAATACTGATGCCCCACACGATGAATGGACATGATGAAGTATTAAAATACTCATTGATGTCACAATAGTTTGAGCGTGGAGAGATTCTATAGACAACAATTTTGGTTCTCTTTCAGTTGGTGGTGTTTGAATTGGAGAAATGTGAAGTTCCCGATGTTTCATTTGTCACAGAGCCAAAGATTATGGGAGAACCTGTTTATAGACATTAAAAAAAAGTGATGTTARGAACAGAATTATGTAAGCTAATGATTGRATGAAAGATCATATATTTGAACCGGAACTGCCGAGAAAGATGTAAAGACATGAATGGTCATCGAAGTTTTGTACGCAACTGCAGTTCTGAAGTTAAAGCCCGATTTTTTTTCAGGCTCAACATATTTGCTAGAGTACTCCCCACTTTACCCAACAACGTTTATTGAAGTGGAAAGAAGTCTTCAACTGAAGTTGAATTGATTTGAATTACCACAATGAGTCGGTTAATTCCCGGGGCTCAGATTGGATTTTGTATGCTCAAAAAAAGAGCGCTCTATGTAAACGTTATAACTCTTCAGCTAAAAAGGAATGGTCGGCTTCAAGAGGTGTTTTTGTGTTTTTATCACCCGCTTTGGTCCGAAATAAAGCATAAATATTGATTGTGGGAAACTTACTTAAAGACCATATGGATTCTGGACCCCAGACCTTCGCTTTCCGGACCAAGCCATTGGGCATGCGCAAAAGAGCACAGCTCCAGGGTCCAGGGGGCCAGATGAAAATCGAATCACCAGGGTAATTACGTTCTGTGGGTAGCATATACATATATACATTGCTTTCTGGACGCTCTGTAATTAGCCTTTCAGTGTAAGGGTAGTTTCTATAGTTATTTCTGAAAATATTCACCCTTACAAAATATGCTACGACAGGAATGATCGCCGTAGTTATGTACACAACGTGAACGTTCAAGCCTGAACTATCTTCATCTTACATTTTTAGGCTTTATTTTCACAACTGCTTATAAGTTGTGTACATAACTGCGATGATCAATCATGTCTTTACATCTTTCACCGCAGTTCAAATTTAATATGTTTCACCCATTCCCTTACACATTAGAAAACACGTGAGTAAGTAATCTGTAAAAAAAAAATATAAATAAATATCCTAGCGGTGTTATAAATAAATATCCCAGCGGTTCAACTGACTAGCTACAACCTTCCTAAATACATGTAAAAACCTAAACTATAGTTATCGAAATTCCCCCATATCGACTCCCTTTTAAAAGCTTACACGTACATATCCCAACTGTAAAAGAAAATTACAATTATTATGAGAGGATACATGTTATTTACATCCATAATTTTAAGGCGGTTTTAATACATTTCTATAGGAATATCTGTGCTGGGCTTATTTGTTTTGTAGATTGTCATTTACACAGAATTTTTAGAGAGGTCCGCAGTTTTAAACATTTGTTCGAATAAAAAACGGAAAAAACTTTTAGTATTATTCAACAATTAGACCCGTGGCCCTTGAGGGCGAAGGGTCTAATTGTTTTAGTATCACTCAACTAGTAGGACAGAAAAGGCAATAATAAAATCAGCAAATGCAAGTAAAGTTGAAGAAATATTTATTTGGTAATAAAACGAAAGAGAGCGTCACGCTCGATTGCGCCAATTTCGCT